TCAGGCAGTTGAGCCAAATGATCATTGCAGATCCCTCCCAACTGAAATTATCCTCTTCTTCTCTTCCCCTTCTCTTCCCCTTCTCTTCCCCTTCTCTTCCCTGCATTTGAATGCCGTGAGAAGGTGTGCTACCTTCACAAGCCTGGCTGCCAGCAGACCCCTTGTCCTATCATCTCTGCGGACAAGTTAGAAATAAATGTTGTAAGAACAAATATCCTCGTGTGTGTTTGTGAGCCTTGATCACTTAATGATGCTGTTCTAGCCCAGGCTCTTCTAGTACACAGCATTTCCATCCTGTACCGGGTGGTTGGTTCATCCAGTCTCACATCCAACTGGAAACAGTGACCAACGCGAAGTGCTTGGCTCTGCTGCAACAGTGTGCCTCTGGGAGAGATTTCATCTTTGCTTAAGGCAAACAGTGATTGGTTTTGGCATGAACTAAGACGGCCATATATATATATATTCTGAATTATTATCTGACTGTTAGAGCTGAAGATATTGCTCTTCCCTTCAATTGTACCAGATTCTTGGCTTCAATGATATCTTGCATTGTGGTTCATTTTCTGCAGTCCCTTTTGATTAACTGTTCTGCTGGTTCTGGCTGTGGGAGCTTCACTGCAATTGGTAGGAATCTGAAAATAAGGAACAGATATGGATCTGGTTTCTGCCTGCTTTCCAAGACATGGCAGTGTGTCCTTTAAAGGATTCCTCGGACCCAGAGGGGAATCTCTGAATTTGTGAGAGGAAAGTCATTTAAGGGTCCTGCCTGTCCCTCATGTGCTGGTAGATGACTTGATGATCTTAAAGGTCTTTTCCAACCTAAACTATTTTATGATTCAATGAGAGAAAAACCCCAACCTGGGCACTTCCAATGGAGGCAGCCACAGCTCTGCACCTCTGCAGCATGGGAGTCTGTGCCCTCCCGTAGGCTGCCTGTCCTCACCCGCAGTGCGGTCTCCCAGACACAACACAGCCCTCAATTTTAAGGGGGAAAAAAACCCCCTTTGAGCTCCTTTTCTATCCTCCTAGCTGGCAGCACAGCTTCATGAGAAAAGGGGAAGCCAGGATTCCAGGATTGTCCCAGCTCTAGAGCCTTGATCAGTTTTAAGCAGAGATGCTGGTGCCCGGGACTGCCAGGGACAAGAAGCTTTTCAGCTGCTTCTGTTCCAGTCTCTGCAGATTTACATTGTCCTTCTCTGCTTTTTAGGATTTGTAATGTCATGTGTGGGAACTGCAGAACCCATGTGTGGCTGGCAGAGGACCTCCATCCATGACCGAGTGACCTAACAACCCTAACTCCATCCACAGCCAAGTGCTTCAAACCCAGCATGTCTTCAGCTCTGCTCCGCTGACCGAGATGCCTGGACCATCACTGGGAGCAGGGTCCCATCCCATGGAATCTCAGCTGCCCAGGTACGAAGGAAAGCATGCTGGTGGGGCAACAGGATTTAGGACTGCTGGCTCTGCATCTCTTGTCAACAAAATGTGGATTTTTGTTTGTTGGCTGCCAAGTGCTGTGGCCTCATGAGTAGGACCCTGCGTTGCAGTTTTTCCAAGCCACAGTCAACAAACTTCCAACCTTGTGGGAGATGGCACTTTTGTACCAGTGACCCATTCAGGCTTTTCCTGCTTTTTTCTGTGGAAGGAGATAAAACTATGTCCCCAGGTCAACCCATCCCAGTGCCTAGGGCTCAGGCAGGATTTCCGCAGAGTTCACCCACCATCAGCCACTTTTGGGAGGTCAGGAAGGTGGAAGAGAGAAACTTGACGTTAGTTTCCTGAAGTGTGGAAAAGATCAAAATTTTCACGGAAATTATTTAGGTTTTTGGAAGAGAACATCTTGCAGCCTTCCCAAACACTGATGCTTGGTAGGAAAAAGGAACCAAGAAGATCAAAATTTGATGTACTGTGTTTACTTCAAAGCATTCGAAACAGGAAGCAATTAGTTTAGTGTTTAGTTCTAATTAACTCATTTTGCCTGTTAATTTGTGCTAACACTAAACACATGCACTTGGCGTAGCGACACTGAAAGTCACTAAGAAAAAAAGAAAATGATGAAAGTGAGACTCAGGCCAGCTTTGCTCTCCGTCAGTCCCCTGAGCTCATATGGGAAACGGGGACCGTGCCAGCGCCAGGACCACAGAAAGCCTCACGGCGAACGCATGCCTGGACACACGCACTTTCTCATGCAGCAAAACCGAGTGTGGGAATAGAGGATTACGGGAGGGCCGGTCCCTCCTCAGAAAGACTGAGTGGCAGACTCTCAGGTGTTAACCAAGACAAAGAGACTTTGATTGCCCCAGGAGTGACCAGAAAACAAACAGGACTCATGCAAACTGCGAAAACAGGGCTTGTAAAGGAGGAGCACGAACATATGGGGATGATGAGAGAATGGTTGCACAGCAAAATAAAGCAAAACATAAAAGGCATCAAGAACGAGTTATGGAAATATATTACAAATAAGAGAAACTCTGAAGTAAAATGCATGCTTATTACTAACTGGGAAAATTGAACAAGCAACGGGGTGCTGAGAGTCTGAAATATTCATTCTTCAGCAAGAAAAAGGATGAGACAGGAGGGCAGGCTGGAATAAATGACTGAAAACTAGGTAGGATGGGCATGTTTGTAAGATTAGGGCTGGCTGAAACTCGCCCGTGGAGCTTGGATGGATGGGCTGTTTCTTCCTCTAACCATGGTCACAACCTTCGTTTCTTCACCTCCTCCTTAACCCCGTCCTCCCACTTCCATGCCCTTTCAAATCTTGCAGCCCATTCTGTTTTGGAGTTTTCCTCTAAGCCTGGTTTTCTTTCCCATTTCTGTTTCCTGGAGCTTGCAGTCAACATTGACATAATCTCACCCCTCACTTTATAGAGCAGAGCACTTGCATTCGCTCGTTGAAATTTGTTGCAAGACTTTTGTGGATCCAAGTGAATAACAGTTAATGCTTACATGCTTCTTCAGCATCCAAAAAATATTCATAATTTTGGTCTTTTGGAGCTTGCTAGTAATTTTGAACACCCAGAAGGTAACATTGGTGTATTCCTTCATGGATGTTTTGTCATGGAATTATTATACTGGGGGTGGGGAACGGGGGAAGCTGGGAGCCTCCAGCCCGGGTGCAGGCTCCGGGTCAGCAGAGGGCAGAGGAGCCCCATGCCTCCCTCCTGCCCTGGGAAGGGACGAGGGCAAGGCGAGCGGTCCTTGTTTTCCTCAAGCCTCAATTAAAACTGCCCCAGAATTAAGTGCTTCAAAGGGACGGGTGGTGTTACGAAGAGTCATTGGACTGGATGCGCACTTCTGGTTGCATAACGAGGCAAAAGGATAATTTCGCCGGGCTGTTTCTTCACTTGATGACCGACATTTTCAAAATATGTTC